CTCTTGTTAATCCAACTCAGAATCATGTTTGCTTTTTTCGCAATAGTGTCACACTGTTGACTCATGTTTAACTTGTGGTCCGCTATGACCCCTAAATCCCTTTCAGCAGTACTCTTTCCTAGACAGTCGCTTCCCATTCTGTGTGTGAGAGACTGATTGTTCCTTCCTAAGTGGAGTGCTTTGCATTTGTCCTTATTAAACTTCGTCCTATGGTCTGAGGTAAATTTCTTTAGTTTATCCAGATCATTTTGAATTTTGTCCCTATCCTCCAAAGCACTTGCAACCCCTCCCAGCTTGGTATCATCTGCAAACTTAGTATGTGTAATCTATATGCCATCACCTAAATTATAGATGAAGATATTGAACAGAACCGGTCCCAAAACAGATACTTGCGGAACCCCACTTGTTATGCCCTTCCAGCATGATTGTGAACCATTAATAACTACTCAGAAAATGGTTATCCAGCTAGTTATGCACCCACCTTATAGTAGCCCTGTCTAGGTTGTATTTCCCTAGCTTACTGATAAGAAAGTGATGCAAGACCGTATCAGATGCCTTACTAAAGTTTAGGTATACTACATCCACCGCTTCTTCCTTATCTGCAAGGCTTGATTTCTTATCAAAGAAAGCTATCAGATTGATTTGTTCTTTTCAAATCCATGCTGGCTGTTATCAGTCACCTTATTATCTTCCAGATGTTTGCAGATGGATTTCTTAATTACTTGCAAAATTATCTTCCTTGGCACAGAAGTTAAACTGATTGGTCTGTAATTTCCTGGGTTGTTCTTATTTCCCTTTTTATAGATGGGGACTATATTTGCCCTTTTCCAGTCTTCTGGAATCTCTCCCGTCTTCCATGGTTTTTCAAAGATGACAGCTAAAGGCTCAGATACCTCCTCTATCAGCTAGCTCCTTGAGTATTCTAGGATGCATTTCATCAGTCCCTGGTGACTCGAAGACATTTAACTTTTCTAAATAACGTCTGACTTGTTCTTTTTTTATTTTAACTTCTAAACCTACCCCCTTTCCACTAGCATTCATTATGTTAAGCATTCCATCACCATCAAACTTCTTGGTGAAAATCGAAACAAAGAAGTCATTAAGCGCCTGTGACTGTCAGGTTTCCTGTTATTGTTTCTTCCTCTTCACTGAGCAATGGGTCTACCCTGTCCTTGGTCTTCCTCTTGCCTCTAATATATTTGTAGAACCTCTTATTGTTACCCTTTATGTCTCTAGCTAAATTTAGCTCATTTTGTGCCTTTGCCTTCCTAATCTTGCCCCTGCATACCTGCATTGTTTGCTCATATTCATCTTTTGTAATCTGACCTAATTTCCACTTTCTATACAATTCCTTTTTGATTTTTAGATAATATAAGATCTCCTGGTCGATCCAAAGTGGTCTCCTGCCATACTTTCTATCTTTCCTACTTAGTGGAATAGTTTGCTTTTGGACCCTTAATAATGTTCCTTTGAAAAACTGCCAATTCTCTTCTTCTGTTTTTCCTCCAAGTCTTGCTTCCCATGGGACCTTACCTATCAGCTCTGAGTTTACTCTGCCTTCCTGAAATCCATTATCTCTATTTTGCTGTTCTCCTTTCTACCATTCCTTAGAATCATGAACTGTATGATTTCACGATCACTTTCACCCAAGCTGCCTTCCGCTCCCAAATTTTCCAACAATTCCTCCCTATTTGTTGAAATCAAATCAAGAATAGCTTTCCCCGGGTAGCTCTCTCAACCTTTTGAAATACAAACATTGTTTTCAATGCAGTCCAAGAACTTATTGGATAATCTGTGCCCTGCTGGGTTAGTTTCCCAACGCATGTCTGGATAGTTGAAGTCTCCCATCACCGCCAAATCTTGTACTTTGGATGATTTTGTGAGTTGTTTTTTAAAAAAAGCCTCATCCACCTTCTCTGCCTTGGTAGGTGGTCTATAGTAGACCCCCAGCATGATATCACCCTTGTTTTTTTAACCTATTTTAACTTAACCCAGAGACTCAACACATCTGTCTCCTATGTCCATCCCTACCTCAGTCTAAGTAGGTAATTTTTAATATAAGGCAACACCTCCTCCCCTTTTTCCCTGCCTATCCTTCCTGAGCAAGCTGTACTCTTCTATACCAATATTCCAATTGTGTATACCAACTATGTATACACAGGTCTTTGTGATACCAACTATGTCACAGTTGTGTTTATTTATTAGCACTTCAAATTCTTCCTGCTTATTCCCCATACTTATTTATCATTTTGGGCTTCTTTATGAAGTATGAAAGGTGCGAAAGATGGTTCTGTTTATTGAAAAATAATATAAAAAATTGTCACATTAGAAATTCAGGTCGTGTCCACACGGGAAGACTATGGCACAGGTGTCAAATATGTGGTCTGTAGCACAGATCCAGCCCTCAAGCCCTTTCCTATGACCAATAGCTGCTTGTCTGCGTAGGGCAGAGAGCTGGGGAGGTAGATTATACTACTGGAACCAGGAACCCGAGACTCTTCTCTCTCTACAAGGTTTCAGACAGTGACCTAAACCCCAGGCTGAAAGGAGACTCCTTTCTAGCCTTCCCCATTCTGTCTCTGACTCTGAATTCAAAGAGGAAGGACCCTTCTCTCCCTCTGCTGCCTACTTTGCCTACTCTTTACCAGTCTCTCCACCCTTAGCCAAAGGAGATTTCTCTTCAGGCTTCCTGCTCTTCTCTGCTGCCACCACTGCTTGTCCCCACATGATCAAATGCATGAAAGTAGCTGCTTCTAAATTGCCCACTCTCCAGAGAGCTGGAGGTGGAGAGTAGGTGAAGAAATCCCCCAGAGGAAGGGAAAGGGGAAGAAGGAATAAACAAAGGAGGGGGAAGGAAGAAAATGACCAAGTGATGTAAGTAAGAGGAAAGGTGGATGCGAATGATTCTTCAAGTGAAGCAGTAGGTAGGAAACATTCATAAAAAGTGTGCATGCAGATGGCAGGTCCAAAAGCAGGGAAGACAAGGGAGACGAGAGGAGACTCGTCATGGAGGAACACACTGAACGGTAAGTTAGTGGACAACAGACAGAAGTTTCAGAGATGCATTTGCCTTTTTTTAAAAAAAATCTTTGTTTTTAAAATGACATATTTAAATTTTAATAAAGAGGTTCATTCTAAGTTGTACAGATTGTAACATTTGCTTTTTCTCTGTGAACTTTATACTCCCAGGCTACAGACTTTGAGGGACAGAGTAACTTGGTCCTCACCACAAACCAAGTGACTAGAGAACTAGTGAAATTAATGACATCACTTGGGCAGTTGAAAAAGAGATGCTTGTAGGACACGAATTTTTTTTTTTAAACTCTCATGTTTAAAACATCCAACACTCTTCCCCTACCACTTGAATTAAGGCAGGAGAGCTCACAATCAGAGGTGCAAGAGAGCCACCATTATCATGAGGAAAGACAGAACTGATTTCTGGTATTTCAGTGGTTGAAATATAAGCAGTTGGGGGTGTTGAGGGGGTAGGGGGAGTCTTTCAGGCTCTCTTTATACACAATAAAAATGGAAAAATGCCACAAATGCAGTTTTAAGCGAGGAAGAAGGGGGCACGAATAACCTCTGTAAGTTACCTTTAAAGAACAGATGCTGCCGTGAACCACATTTGGAATTGTGGGCAACTCTGGCCATCCATATATTAAAAGATAAAACTACAAACACTCTGCAACAAATACTCTGCACGATATGCAACATTATGTTTTTGTAATTAAGAAAAAAGGCAGACCTCAAGATCAATGTTGCCTCCAATCTTTTTCATCCATGTGCAGAATACATTGTGTGTGTTTACCAAGGCACATGTCAATAGAAACACAAAACCTAGCTGTGGGTGCTCTGCTAATCAGCTGAACAGCATCTGAATTTCTTCTGAGTGGACATATGAGCGCACAGCATACGGCAAACACTGCTCAAGATACAACTTAACTCTCGGTAACACCTTTTTGCATCCGAACTTAAAATATAAAAATGGCCATACTGGGTCAGACCAAAGGTCCATCTAGCCCAGTATCCTGTCAGCCCACAGTAGCCAATACCAGATGCCCCAGAGGGAGGGTAATTCTCATGTGATCCCTCCCGTCACCCACTTCCAGAGAAACAGTGGCTAGGGATACCCATTCCTACCCATCCTGGCTAATAGCCATTGATGGACCTAACCCCCATTAATCTATCTAGCCCTTTTCTGAACACTGTTAAAGTTCTAGCCTTCACCGCATCTTCTGGCAAGAAGTTCCACAGGTTGATTGTGAGCTGAGTGAAGAAAAACTTTGTTAGTTTTATATCTGCTGCCTATTAATTTCATTTGGTGACCCCCTAGTTCTTATATTGTGGGAATACGTCAATAACTTTTCCTTATTCATTTTTCCACATCAGTCATGAATTTATAGACCTAAATAATACCCCTTCCCCCAATCTCCTTTTTGCTAAGCTGAAAAGTCCAAGTCTTTTTAATCCTTCTTCATATGGGACCTGTTCCAAACCCCTACAAATTTTTTGTTGTCCTTTTCTGAACCTTTTCCAATGCCAATATATCTTTGAGATAAGGTGACCACATCTGTCCACAGTATTCAAGAGGGGGGCGTGCCATGGATTTATATAGAGGCAATAAGATATTTTCTGTCTTATTCTCTATCCCTTTTTTAATGACTCCTAACATTCTATTTGCTTTTTTGACTGCCGCTGCACACTGAGCGGATGTTTTCAGAGAACTATCCACAATGACTCCAAGATCTTTCTCTTGAGTAGTTGTAGCCAAATTAGTCCCCATCATATTGTACACATAGCTGGGATTATATTTTCCAATGTGCATTACTTTACATTTATCAACAGTATTTACTTTGATTCCATACAGCATGAATTATATTCAAAGAGAGAAGGCTCACCTATGATCACACTCTCAGACACTCTCATCTCTTAATTATGACAATTACTCAGACTAATCCCAAATATGAGACTGATCAACCTATAAGAAAAGAAGAACTAACCAGTTAATTTTTCCGTTGACTTGGTGGGGTGACATGCAGGCTTTTGGGGCTCCTGGATACCCACTGATGGGGGTACAGGAGGGACTTAGATACACAGGGTTTCCTAAAGATTGCGTAAGGCGAGAACTCTGCAAGAGAAAAATAAAGTCGAAAACTTGATAAAAAAAATGAACTTGAAATAATGCTGAACATAGTTATATAGTTCCAATCCAATCAATTATTTATAGTTTTTCTATCTGCATAGATTCAAGGATCAAAGATTCTCTAAATCACCTCATGACAGTAATTTTAAATTAGATTCTTAAATATTAGGAAATGCTGTCAAATATAATTTCAAGTCCTCTATAAATTGGAGACCACTTTCAGTGCTTGACAGTTTCACTTGCATTTTTCCTGTCTCACCAACACGAAATACAAGCAGCTCTAGTATAGTAAAAATTATGTTTCATATGAACGGTTCCAAAACTTTAGCCAAATGCTAGCATCAATCCAGGATATCTGATAGCCTGAGGGCACATGTATCTACGTAACTGAACATGATTCTGAAACACCAAAAAAGGAACTTGGATTAGACGTGTGCATGCATCTGCATTTTATGTGAATTTAGTGCTAACAAAAAATATCAAACTCACCTTGTGCAGTAACTGTGGTTCTTCAAGATGTCTGTCCCTATGGATGCTCCACTTCAAGAGTGCATGCACTGCTGTCCATTAGTGTCAGTTTGGCTTGCCTATATGTTCCATACAAACTCATGCTGTACTCAGTATATGTAAAGCTGCAAAGGCAAACTTTCCTCAGTTCCAGCTCTATCTGAATGTCTAAAATTAACAGACCAAGGCAGAGGGGAAGAAGGGTGGGTACATCCACGGGGAGAGACATCTTGAAAAACCAGTTACTGCACGAGATGAGTAACTTTTTCTTATTCTTGGAATAGCGTCCTTATGGGTGCTCCATTTCAGGTGATTCGAGAGCAGTATCCTCACAGAGAGGAGGGAGCTTCGGATTTAAGTCCGAGGCTAAAGAGGATACAGCAAATTCAAGCACTGAATCAGATCCAACCGCGTGTACCTAGCACAGCGTTTAGAAAAGCTATGCACTGAAGCCCATGTAGCAATTCTGCACATGTCAGACACTGGAATGTTTTTGAGAAGCACTCTAAAAGCTGCTAATAATCTTGTATTGTGTGCTATATAATCCTTTGGGGAGGCAAAGCACCAACAGTATCATAACAAGGAGTAATAAACCCAGAGATGCATCTCTATAGTCTCTGTGAAGAGACTGGGGATGTGAACCAGTTAACTGGTACCCGGTAGCAGCCTACCTCCCTCTGTGCAAGTGGCTGCTAGCTCCTGCTTCCAATCCCCCCCCCCGTGCTGGGGAGTGGGCAGCAGTAGCCCTGCATGGGAGGGTAGGGGTGGCAGGAACGAGGTCCAGCTTAATTGGTTAACTAGTTAAATAGTTAACTGATTAACTGGGATTTTACATCCTACTGTGGCTCCTTTGATCTTTTTACAATGGAGACAATGTCTAGGTGATTTCTGTAATTATTCTGCCCTATCAAAATAAAAGTCAGTCATACTTGTAATGTATGAAGAGGAGTCTCCTAATGAAATGTATGTGATTTAGGAAAAAATACTGTCAAACAGACAGACTAGTTAAGATGAAAATCTGACTTAACATTAGGTAAGAACTTTGGGTGCAGTTGTAGAAGGACCTTGTCCTTGACAAATATTGTAAATGGAGGGGGGGAGAGGGGAGAGGAGTGCTCCGACATCAAAGCTCCAATTTCTCCAATCCTGCAGACTGACATGTTAGCAACTAGTAAGGATGTCTTCACAGATAAGTGAAGCAAGGGCCAGGTGATTCAAATGGAGACACAGGCACAAGATCATGACATTAGTGGTTGGACCTCTTCCATTTCTGAAGGTAAGCAACTTCAATTGATCCCTTTCTATTTTCAAGCAGGTGGGGTATGATCCCGTGAAACTTTATGCTTCAGTATGGATGACCTAAAGGTTGGAAAGAAGCACACAACCTGTATCCCGGGAGCAGAGAGATGGGACTGTCAGAAGTATGTGTGTCAGTTGGATTGGACACACAGGTGAAGCAGGTAAAGTTAGCAAGTTGCGTGGAGCAGGTCAACATTATGAGGATAACCGTATCTTGCTCGTCACTCTCAGATTAGTTGTGTTGGAAGGAATGAATAAAACAGGCCATTTTTGTTAAAGGAAGGACAAAGGTGTCTCCCAAAGACAGATGATCAAGGCCTCCTCTTGAGCAAAATAAAGAGTACATCCTGTGCTGGATGTGGTGAATAGGTCCATTTATGGAAGTCCCCACCTCTGGCATCTCCCATGAAGCATTTGAGCAAGCAATTCCCATTCACAGACCCGGGAGAAGCATCTGCTGAACTTATTGGCTGTGACAAAAAGATGAATGTCTATTAATGCTACAGATTTTTGCCATTTCCTATAGTGCTTGCTTGAGACTGAGATAAAAATAACATGTAAATATATTCATATATAATAGCATATATATTTTAAAAGAGTAATGCTGATTAACAAAATCAAATCAGTGGTTTTAATGTTAATACCCAGCAGTTAATACTAGCTTTTTCCCTTTAACGTTTGTTCAAAAAAAAAGCTTCATTGTAACAACATAATTAAGCTAGGGACATGAAGGACTAGTCGACTATCCGATAAGCATTTGCTTATCGGATAGTTGACAAGCTTGTCAACTAGTTGCTCCCTTCCCCCCCCTTTGCAGCCTCTATCACAAAGAGGCAGCAAGGAGGGGGGAGGGGGAAGGAGTACTTCAAATCAGCAAAGCCACGGGGAGTCTGGGGCCTGATGCTGGGCTCCACATGGCGCTGCCACTTTGAAACACCGCGGGGAGCCTGATGGTGGGCTCCTGTGGTGGTGTTTCAAAACGGCAGTGCTGCACAGAGCCCAGGATCAGCTGAGGACTCTGCAGCTGACCCCGGGCTCTTCCTGGTGCTTTCTCCTTTCAAGTGTAGCAACAGCCCTAGGGTTGTTTCTACATTTCAAAGGCGGAGACACCCTATTGACTAGTCAAATAGTCAATCCAAAATGCACTGAGTATTCAATTAGTTAATTACCCGCAATTTAACATCCCTAAGTTAAGCCACCAAAAATGATGGAATGTTTTGGGGTTTACAGAGTTTATTTACTGCACCTACACTGAAATCCCAGTTCTATAATATTCCATAGTAAGACAAATGCTGGCATTTTATATAGAACTTTGAAAACAAGAGAAGTAATAATTGATTTATGTATGCTACTGAACACCTTAAATATAATGTGATATTTTTTGAAGAGGATCAGAAGGAGTAGTTTGTAAACATTCACACCACAGTTGTGATATTTATCCACTCCATGGGGGGGGAGCTATATAGTTCAGTTCGTTAGTGTTCATAACATTCTTTGAGGTCATAGATGAAAAAAAACCCATAAATATGCAAGTTTTAATACTGTGTGAGCAAATAATTTATTCCAACTTGTATTTAGATGTTCAAGGTTGCTGAAGCTGCCTATTCAGTGGCTAAAGTGAAGAGAAAAAAGTTATCTACTGTTATGAATATAGTGCTTCTGTAAATAATTGAGGTGGTATATAAAGAACAGAGTAGCCTCAGCCCAGTCCCGAACACCTCGTTTTACAAGACAGCACTCATATGGCCCCAAAGGGCATACTGTTCTTGATGGTTCAGAATGCCCTTCATGCAGGTGCACACACATACCACAAAGAGGCATGGGACTTGCAGAGGTAATTCTCAAGGAGAATAAGTCCTTCCTTGCTTCACAGCCTCTATTTTAGTCAATTCAGGAGAGTTATTGACAGACTGCATGAAGGTGAATAAAGCACTATTTCTAGACAGGTGCACTATAACCTTTGGGATCAGAACGCCAGGACCTTATTTTCTAAAATGCTACACACTCAAAATGGTGTTTCGTCCTGTGATGATTCAAACAGGGTCTCTTTCCACTTACATGTGCCAATCAGCATCCCTAGTTTCCGATAATACAAAAGGAAAAAGTACTAGAATTAAGTTTAAATTAAGATACAATTCATAGTAAGAAGACTGAAAACTTTGCATGCTACATACACACTGGTTATCTGCACTGTTTCCACTGATGCCGCTAGTGTTTTCATGGTCTCCTGACTAAACTTCACTCATTTCTGCTAGATGCCAATGCACAGGGCTCGCCGAACCGAAGCGATCCCCGCTCGCTAGCCGCGCTGTCCGGCGATCTGCGCATGCGCTGATTGCCCAAACCGGCTCTTCCAGGTTGCAATCTACTTGCCACAGACAAGTAGATTGCATTATTTGTCGAGCCCTGCCAATGCATCAGGCGTCTATCTGCCTATCTAAAAAGGAAGATTAATTAGCATGTTGCAGCCTTGGTGCAACCGATGGCAAAATAACTCCAATAGCTTTAATTACCTGCCAATTCAACTGTCTAATGCTTCCCGTGCTCCCTTAATATCAATAACCTCTATTAGGTATTACAGCCATCTCCTCTGGGCACTGATTTCATCAACGTTTGCTCCAACAGCACAGCTTCATATGGATGTTTACACAGAAAAAAAGCAAGGAAAACACAAGGTTTAGTGCTCGATTCCACAAAGTTTCTTATATGGCACTCATCACCATAGCATGTGAGCAGCTTCCATTAAGTAACATGGCTAATGTCTGTTCCGTGTTTGTGTCCTCAGCCTCCCCACTGGGGGGGAGTGGTTGGTGAGGGGGGTGGAGAAGCATGTGCAGGGGAGTGCCTTGTTTGTAAAAAGGCAGTGGATAGATCTGCTGTGCTTGAGATAGCTTATATTGCTGAGGTGCTTTATTCTACACAAACTGGAGTTGCCAATGTGCTAAAAGCTTCAATCCCAGGTATACTGAATTGCATTAGCCCAACTGACAGATGAATTCAGACCTGGGGTCATCACTTGCCAGCATAGGATAAAGTCTTTTAGCCAACATTTTTCCTGCATTACAGCCTGAGTTGACCAACTACAGGACTCTACTCTCAAAAATGACTGCGCCTTAGCTATAAGCCAGGGCTACTCAATTTTGGAAGCCCCAGGGACCACAATGATACTCACAGCACATGCTGAGGGCCACAATATAAGTGTAGTTCATAAACATGCAAATAGCTTCTTTCACACTGACGAGCATGAATACAAAGATTAAGACACGACTACAGAACACGCAGGCCCCATTTAAGTGAGTTCTGCTGATATTAATAAAATGCAATATTTACCCGATTTCCACCCATATGACAGCACTTTTAATGAACAATGACAGTCCAGGAATTAACTACTAAAACACATATCAACAGAAGACCATTATATTGACTACTTTTTTGTTTTGGTTCCCACCCATGAGCTGCGTGTTGAGCCCCGTATAAACCCAAATCATGCCATGGGCTGCAAAAAGCAGGTGGTGGGCGTGTTGAGTAGCCCTGCTGTGAGCTTTCAAAATGCTTTAGTTTCCCCACCTCTTCTAGCACCCATTCAGCCTAAGCCAGCTATTCTTCATCCAGGAGACAGTTTCGTCCTAGTACTAAGCAACTATGTTGGTAGTAATCATGCAGTCACATGCGGGGAAGTATAAGAAGTGTTATATCTCCCTGCGCTTACTGTTAGCCCTTGAGTCTGTGCTCTCTCACCAGTTCACCTGGTGGCTCCAGACAGACGCTGAGAAGGACAGGCATATGAATGTGCTGAGCACTTCTGCAACAGGCAAGTACAACTATTCCTATTATACAGATTGGAAAATGGAGGAAGAGGGTTAATAATTTTTTCCAATACTAGAGATATCACTATCTATCTTACATGATTTGCAAATGTGTTTCAGGAAGTCTTCTTATTGCTATAAGAGATGTTAAGACAGGCTACTTCGGTTATACTCTGCATTGTGGCATAAACACTGCATTCATGTTTCTTCTAAAGACTAACCTGTTTCTCCACGTTGTTCATGAAGTAAGGAGGAATGCTGGAGGACAAATCACACTGTCTCTCCACTGAAGGGACCTTCAGGGTGGAAGAGAAGGAAGGTGGCAGTCCCTTATTCTTTCTGGAATTCACCACTGATGCTGAACCTAATTGCCCATGCTGCTTCATCACATCTTCAGGCTGCTGATCACCACCAAGAACAACTGAGCCCTAGGGAGAGACAATTCCATTGGATTCATCCTCTACATAGAATGTTTGAAACTGCAGTATAAAGAACAAAAATATCCTAAACAAATAAACACCAGGTGAGTGAGTAAATAAAATAAATACAACAACTAGCTTTTTATAGAAAACCCTCATCAGTAGGAATCAATGTTTCCGTCACAACTAGAAGAAGCTTAGGGTTAGGATTAGGAAACAAACATGGTTCTCTTCCAATTCTACTGGTACTATGCTTTGCTTTTCCTAGAATACTGCAGAGGCAGTGAAAGACCTAACTAATACACAAACTCTGAAGCAGTTAGAACTGCCCCCCTTCTGCAAACCCACAAAACCAAGGAAATGAGAAGTAAGCTACTCAATAGTATATACCCTGTACACCTCCAGCAACAAGCACACCTCTTACCCAGGCCTGGGCAAACTGTCCTCCGTGGGCTGCATGTGGCCCACCACACCACCAAATCCAGCCCGTGGACTTCCTGCCCGCCCCCTGCATGCTGCTGAGAAATATGGCTGTTGCAGGGCTGTTTGAATAGCTGAGAGCCGGAAGGAGGGTGGAAAGGGTTTGTGCGCGGCTCTTGCCCCCAGCACAATCCCACTGGCTGGTTACTGGTCAATGGGAGCTGCTTGTTGTCAGCTGGCAGCTTGGGAAGCACCCTACCATCCTGCGCTCTGGCTCCTAGCTGTTCTGAATCCACATGGCCTCTGCAGCCAGTGAGGAGTCGTCGGGGCAGGAGGGGAGGGGGCAGGGAGTCTACTTGGGAAAGTTGCTGGCTAGGAGTCAAGCATGTAAGTCTCACAGCCAGAGCCTGCCTCTGACACCCCAACTCTTTGCCCCGCCCATACAACCCAAATCTTCTGCCCTCCTCTTGCCCGTATATCCCCTTCCAGATCCTGCACCCCAATCCTCTGCCCCAGGTCACAACCCAAACCCCTGCACCACAGTCCCCTGCCCCAAGTCACAACCCACTCCTGCCCTAGGTCACAGTCCAAACCCCTCCAGCCCACTTCTACACCCTAGTCCCCCTTCCCCAGGTCACAACCCAAAACCCTGCACCCTAGTCCCCTAAGCCAGGTCACAACTGCCTCCTTCACCCAAACTCCCTCCCAGACCCCACACCCTTTCCTATACCCCAATCCCTTACTGCAAGCGCCCTTGTCCTTCCATCACAGACCCCACACCTCCTCCTTTAATATGTAAGAGTGTAGCCCTTGACTACTTTCCCAATTCTTGGACTGGCCCCCAATCAAAAATTATTGCCCCTCCCCCCACCTCCGCTCTTACCAATATGAGAGAATACAACAAAGACCGTGACCACATTTTGGCTTTTTTTTTTTTTTTGCTTCACACATTTTCCCCAGCAGTCACCCGAGACCGCCAATTGGTTAGGACCAGCCCTGCTCCTTGGGCTCTTATGATAGGACAAGAAGCAATGGTCTTAAATTGCAGCAAGGCAGGTTTAGGTTGGATATTAGGGAAAAATTTCCTAATTGTCTGGGCGGTTAAACACTGGAATACATTGCCTAGGGAGATTGTGAAATCTCCAACACAGGAGATATTTAAGAGCAGGTTAGATAGTTATCTACCAGGGATGATCTAGAGCAGCGTAACTTTTTAAGACCGAGGATCACCGAACAATTTATTACTTTTTTTTTTTTAAATGAGGAACACCAAGAATTTTTTGTTGAGAGAAAAAAAAAGGGTTGGGGGGAGAGGAGTTATTGAGCGAAAAAAAAGGTTGTCTGCCCTATAAGAAACACTGATCTAGACAAGACGGTGTTTGGTCCTGCAGTGAGGACAAAAGACTGGACCTGATGATCTCTCAAGGTCCCTTCCAGTTCTAGTATTCTATAATTCTAAATATGCAAATAACAATACAGACAAAGGATTCAGGAAATGTTGTTTCTCAAACAGATTCCTTATGAGGCAAGAGATTTAAGAAATAATTAATTTGAACTACAAATATAGACATGTACGTCAACATCCATCAGGAGCAGTGTAAAGGTTTGGAGGAGTTGGGTGATGAAGGAACTGAGGGACAAGGAAGATGCTGCTGAGAAGGAGTCTAGGTGTGAACTTGGATGGGAGAAGTATGGAATAAGGTTTTTTGTTTTTCCCTTCCATGAAGGGTGGAAGAGATTGTTAGGGAGACTCCTTCATGCACACTCTGGGTGACCCCCAGTCTCTCCCATTGGTCAGGCACATCTTCTCCACCCCTCTATGTTTCTGCACCTCCCTTTCCCAACTGCTCCTGCCCCAGCACTCAGCCAACTCCTCCTTCCTCTCCCCTTCCCTCATGCATCCCTGCACTCCATAAAGCTCCCCTCCTCCCCTCAGGTGTCCCTGCAGCCTACCTCAGCTCTGACTCTCTGCTGTCACTAAGGATGTTAAGTATAGGGGAGGCTCCTCGCGACATTTCAAAGTGGCAGCGCTGCACGGAGCCCAGGTTCAGCTGTGGCCTTCCCCGCTGGCCCTGGGCTGCATGTGGTTTTTTAAAGAGGCATCGCTGCGTGGAGCCCGGGGTTTGGCCCCAGGCTTCAAGCAGCTCTACCACTTCGAAGTACCACCTCTTCTCCTCCCCATGCCGCCTCTAGCTGATAGAAGCAGCAAGGGGGGGAAGCGACTAGTTGACGATCCTGTCGACTAGTCCTTCACTTCCTGGCTGTCATTTCACTAGCTCCAATGTTCCTGCTCCAGTTTATTCCCCCCACTAACCCTTCTGAACGCCAATCTATGTGAACCTCGCAACCAACCTTGTTGTGTGCCCCACTCTGTCACCCTATGCCTCTTCACCTGGTCCTGCAGGCAAGGTGCTGTGAGAAAGGCAAGAGTCCTTAATGGGCAAGAGGTATAATCACAGTGTCTTCCCAGCACAATGTGTTTCCTAGAGAGAAAATAATTGGCAGGAAATATGAATTCTGCATGTGCACAGTGGTGCAGAATCCCCCCCAAGAGCACACCCTTGACCCAGATTATCTCCCTAACACACACACTGATAGATATCCACTGCAGTATTTTGTTGAATTGGGAAAAGGTAGTTTGGCAATGAGTTGTATGCAGAAGGTGGTTATAAGGGAGTGATGGAGAGGCTGGCCTCCCTAAAGGGCAGAGTTAAGGTTGTGGTGGACAGTAGTTATGGTAATAAGGTGCATGTTTCTGGATAAAGGAAGAAAAATGAAGGAAATGGCTTAATTTTTCATTTCCTTGTTTTGTGGATGTGTCAGGAAGATGGGAGTTTGTCATACTCTTCCAAAATTCCCAGCGGAGCAAAAATCAGAAGATGCATAGTTAAGGTTGCCTGCACAATACTAAACCTCTTTCAGAATTGTCCAAATAAGCCATGTTAAAACTTTAACCTTCACTATGCAGATCCGAGAGATGCTGAAGTATTCAAGGTTTTTTACTTCTTTGTACACCTCACTCTTACTCACAGGATTCATTCCAACACTATGAAAGGACGAACAGGAAAGGACATGGGGGGGAGGGGGGGAAGAGGAAGGGGGAGAAAGGTTGCCCACACCACTTTCTCGCTGCCCTCTTCAAGCAACTACTCAATATGAATAAATTCACACCGGCCTTCACAACATCTTCTGGCAAAAAGAATTCTCCAGGTAGACTGTGTGTGGTGTGAAGAAATGCTTCTTTTTATTTTAAATCTGCTGACTATTAATCTCATTTAGCGATCCCTAGTTCCTGTGTTAGAAGTCGGAGAAAATAACATTTCCTTATTTACTTTCTCCACAACGGTCATGATTTTATAGACCTCTAACATATCACCCTTGCCTCTTAGATGTCTCTTTTCCAAGCTGAAAAATCCCAAGTCTTATTAATCCGTCCTCGTATAGAAGCTATTTCATACCCTGAAGTATTTTATTGCCCTTTTCTGATTCTTCTCCCATTCAAATATATCTTTGAGATGGAGTGACCATCTGCACACAATACTCAAGATGTGGGCATACTTTGGGTTTATTCAGAGACAGTATGTTAGGTCCTTTGGAATGTATCCAGTACAGATAAATGCCTGTGTTTAAAAAACTGCAATTAGGTGTGGCAATTTTGCCTTCTCAAGTACTTCAGTAACAGCAACTTTGCTCTTTCACCTGATATTTAAAATACAATAAAGACCAATGAGCGTGGAAAGTGGTTAGCCTTCTCCCATGTCTGCTACAGATCTTACCGCCATACAGCATAGAGCTCAGGATGCATGCCCTCAAACTCACAGCTTGGTCTTCAATGTCAGTTTCTCATTATTACACACATACTTACTCAGTTGACCAAATATGGTGGCTGCCCTTCTAATGCAAGAATTAAACTCCTTATCTAGAGCTATATTAACATAGATGATCCTAAAGAGCAGAATCTGTCACAACTTCTATAGTCATGCCAGCTGTTAAAACTCCTAATGCAGTCAAAATACCCTGTCCCATAATCATGGTCTTCTTCAGATTGATAGCATCTCAAAATTCATCACAAGCTAATGCAAAGCTACCGGAGGCTCCTCTTTGCTATTCCTGATAATCAATAAGTTGATGAAGAAAGATGCTCTATTTGGAGCTGTTTAACTTTAAAAAAACAGAACAAAACTAAGACATTCAATGTTGAAGTGTTTTCCATCTGATTCTGCAGGGAAATGTGTACTCTTAGTGCTAGACGAAGAGGAAAAGCAAAAAATATACCGAAGAGTGTTGATGCCCAAAACACACCCTTGTTTGACAGTGCTGCAGATTTAAAAGCTGCGAGATGGATGACCATTATACTGGAATGTAGCATTCATGCTACATGCAACTTCTTTGGAGGATAGGGACATAATTCAAAATGACCTTAGCAAGTTAGAGAAATGGTCAGAGGTAAACAGGATGAAGTTTAATAAAGAGAAATGCAAAGTGCTCCACTTAGGAAGGAACAATCAGTTCCATACATACAAGATGGGAAGCGACTATCTAGGAAGGAGCATGGCGGAAAGGGATCTAGGGGTCATAGTGGACCACAA